TTTAATGTCTTTCTATTAAAGTGTGGAGGAAAATAAGCCATATATGCAAAAACATCTCATTAGGGTGGTCCAAATGTCATGAGACATGACCTTCACAAGTCTAATTTTGTTCTATGCCTGGCCATTGTTAATTGTGCCAAATGGTAGGCCTCTTGGTGAACATTTTAAAGTTTGCTCAAAGATTTGTAATTTAATACATGAAATGAAAATACGGAAATATAGCTACAGTGACTATGGTAATATTTGATCAACATCCAAATCTGTTTTACAAGACGTAATGTGGACATTAAACGAGGGATACCTGTAAAAAAAAAATGAAAAATTCCACCAAACTTTGAACTGTGAAGAAATGCACATGGAAAAAATTGAGACCACAGCAACATTTTTAATTTCACTCATTTCAGTTTATAGTTATGCTAAAATATACATTTTTTTGCAAACCTGCCTCTTCTGTTTCTCATTCATGAAGGGCTTCTTCATTGCTTTATGGGTCTTCAGTCCTGCTTCTAGGAGCCTGTTATGAATTGTCCTAGCAGTGCACTTCACACCACTTAATGTTTCCCATTCTTTGTCAAGGTCAATTGAGGTCATCCTCCGATTTATGAGGCACTGCTGGATAAGTTGACGGTCATCTCTGGCATTAAAAAGTCGATTCCGCCATCTATCTGGCTGGTTTTTGGTCATTGCCAGTGTCTCGTGCTTCACATTGTTCTTATGTACTGCAGTCTTAGATATTTTGAGCCTGGAAGCAACCTGTCGCTCAATGTAGCCTTCTGCCAGCAGAACCAGGATTAAACCAGAAATTTAAAATGCAGATTTGAAAAAAATATGGTCTCTTAATTTTTTCCAGAGCTGTACTTTCTCATTTACAGCTGAAAATAGGCCTGTTGGCTTTGCATATTCATCATAAAGCTTCTTCAATATGCGAATCCCAGAGTATATTCGCTGATGTGGTATTCTTGCATACTGCCAAATTTCCAGTACACAGGACACAGCCAGTTGAGTTGCCTCTTTCAAAACAGCCTTTTTTATTAATGTAAAAATTCAAAGTCAAAGAACGTCACTATTGGTTGGAAGATGTGAACTGGACACATCAGCCCCCTTCTCTAGCAGCCATTCTTCAGCACTGCTTCTAGTCTTTGCCATTCTTAGTTTGCCAAACAGTTTGTATCCTAAAATGTGTCAAAGCCTCCATTTTCAGTTGCCTGTTCATTACTATTCTAACTTTCTTCTTTGCAGTACAGTGTTATTCAACTAACAATAAGTAACACCCTGCCCACCTGACCTTCTTGTTTAATCCCTAATTAATCCCTAACTGTTTAATCCCTAATCTAACAAGCCACATGTGTTACGTGTTTGTCTTGCCTCTCATTCCTGCCCTTGTGTGATTCACTTCAGCTGCTTCTTTTTTTGCTCCCTTGTTAGTCTTTGTGTAAAGTGCTTCCCAGTCCCAGGCTCTCCAGTCTCAGCATTAACATCAATCTTATCTGTGGCCTGGCCTATTAGCTGTGTTCTGTAATCCCAGTGTTGATTCCCCGTCATCCTGTACCTTTATGTTAGGTCTTTTGGTTGAAATAAACCCCATTTGTTTACTCCATCTTCTGCTCCTACATCCTTCATCCTCGGTGCATAATAAAATAAACATTTTGTTGTGCACAACAGCATCAAAGAATAGCTATTTTAATGTGATGTCTCTAAACATTGCTAGTACCTAAACAATATTTAATGTTTAAGTAAGTAACAATTTCTAACAACATTATCACAGTGTATTGCAGAGCACAGAGCAAAACTGACCCAATAGTGAATGTTGCAAAGAGCCAGCCACATTATAAGGATTATTGTTGGACTTTGGGCGACCTCTGAATTTGTCCCAAACTGCTTCACATTTTAACCATATTATCTACATGAGGTAGAACATATTCAGACCTGTGGAGGCAGGTTCCTACATTGCATGTCTTTTTGATGTTTCTGTGTTTTTAAAGATAATTTAAATTAGTTTAATCACTGATAATAGCTGGGTTTGCAGAGAAAATGCAGAAAACAGTAGTAATGCTTGTAGGACTTAACCTATATTATGTGTGACGATGCTATTAATTTATAATTATAACTTAATTGTAGCAACTTACTGCTTATATTTATCACCTTGCTGACAACAAATATATTTGTAAGCATTTAGACACAATCCAGTTATATCAGAACATCGTGATGCCTGGTTTCCTATGCTAACACAGAAATTACAGGACATCAAATTGGTGATACAAATCTGTTTACATGGAAATGTGTAGCTAAATCACTTTTTCAGCCATCAATAATATGTTTATGCATAGATTTGAAGGCTGAACATTATTACCTTAAGCTTAAAATATAGGGTTCGCCTGCTAAAACAGACACACAGCAGCTCTGAACCGCAGTACTAATAACACTAGTTTATGCACATGTAAATATGTATCTGAGTGACTTTCAGCCACCTCACATACTACTTTGCCCATATGTGAGGGAAAAACATTATTTCCTGAAATCCAGGATATTCTACGGTCTGGTTCCCCCTGCTGAAACAGACATGCAACAACTCTGGACCTCAATACTGATGATACTAGTTCATACACATGTAATTATGTACACATAGGCTATTTCCCATGTGTTCCCCCTGTCGCGCACTCATTTGAAATCATCAACTTTATAGTTAGACAGTCATTGTAATGTTTTCTATGAAAGTAAGTTAAACAAACCATTTATGTGAAAAAATAAATAGAGCTCAGCCTCCCTCTTCCTTCCTATCGGTATGATTTCAGACCGCGGTAACTGTAGTTTACACCTTTGTTGACCGCATCCTTCAAAGGTTGTAGCCCCCGAATTCGGACACAGCCCATGACTGACAATGCACCAAGATGGAGTTGCGTGGTAATTTCGCAATACTATTGCAAACCTCCTGTACAGTAAGTGACAGAAAGTTGCAACACCTGTCCTATAAGAGGACTGATACACATGAAATTCAGCAAAAATATTTTTGAAGGGGAAAACGCATAAATTAACAAAATTGATCTTGGGATTTCATGAATCAGTATTAAAACCAGGACTGTGGTTAATCATAAAATCGATATTTTTCCCATCCTTACTGCGTAATGTCTGGTAGGGTATTATTGTACCTCTCCAATGGGCAAATTATGACCTAAAATTTTTAGCATACGACAGTGTCAAGAACATTGGAAGGACAATCTGCTCTGTTCAGCCACAGGAGCTACGAAACAAAGATGCAGAACATGTAATCGTGACTTACGCTTTTAATTACTCGGATATTGTCAGCGGCCAGGGAAGGTGGTTAATCCATCTGAGTTTGAAGGTAAACTTGCGGAAGATTATTGATCTGTCTGATTACATAATTTAACTTGCCAGATTTTCCTTCTGAATATTTATTACAATTATTTCACCGATATCTACGCATTCCCAACCAGTTTGGCTCTCGCAACAAACACCAGAAGTGACATACTTTTTTTTAGAGCCATTCTACAGAGTTCCTTTCGACCTTGAAATAATGCCTTATGACCAGTCTCTGTTGGGAACTTCAGGTAACCCCATCCTACCACTGATACTCACCAGCACACTCTCATTGACTTTTCCATTTGTGATTTTACTTTGCACTACTTGATGCTCAGTTCTTGTATTTTGCAGTACGAACCCAGTAGGTGATATTTATTGATATTGCTTTTCTGATGTTTTTGGATGGTTTTAAGCAGCGTTTTTCATAGCTGCCGTTCCATTAACTATCTTGCACCTCTACCTAACTTGACAGGGAAACACTTTTTATGTTTATCTGCCTCATTTGTTGTCTCGTACATAAGCATCTGACAGGTAAATGAAAATGTAAATATATGATTGCACAAAGTATTGTTTTCCTGTAAGTTACAGAGACATTTGAAAGCAGCCCTTTTTGCTAATTTATTATTTCAGTTAGGATGCTTTTGTGTGGCACATACATGTACCTGCAAATGGATAATCCACGCTGTCTTTCCAGGGGCAGCAAGAAGCTGCTGTGTGCCTCCCTACACAATGCATGTCAAACCCAAACTGGCATTGCTGCTGGCAGTGCTGCTAGCGGCTGCTGGCCTCTTCCTCCTGGTTCCTGATGCTAACACCACCATGGGTCATCAATCACAGCCAAGCAGTATGACCAAAAATCTGTTAAGGGATCAGCAGCAAGTCCTGTCGGGCAGCAACAGGAGCATCGCCTACCGGATCAAGGCAAACGTCGCTGGGTGAGTGTTGGCCAGCCTCTGGTCACCCAGGGAGATGCACACATTCTTAACTTGCATTCTCACCTTACATCTTACAGTCATTCTAACTATGGCGCATGATCCTCTGTCTGGACACTTACTTATTACACTATATTATCAAAAGTATTGGGACACCTTCCTTTACACACACATGAACTTTAATGACATCCAATTCTTAATACATAGGCTTTAATATTGAGTTGGCCCACCCTTTGCAGATATAACAGCTTCAACTCTTCTGGGACGGCTGTCCACAAGGTTTAGGAGTGTGTTTATGGGAATTGTTGACCATTCTTCCAGGAGAGCATTTGTGAGGTCAGGCACTGATGTTGGATGAGAAGGCCTGGCTCACAGTCTCCACTCTAATTCATCCCAAAGGTGTTCTGTCGGGTTCAGGTCAGGGCTCTGTGCAGGCCAGTCAAGTTCCTCCACCCCAGACTCGCTCATCCATGTCCTTATGGACCTTGCTTTGTGCACTGGTGTGCAGTCATGTTGGAGCAGGAAGGGGCCATCCCCAAACTGTTCCCACAAAGCTGGGAGCATGAAATTGTCCGAAATGGCTTTGAATGCTGCAGCATTAAGAGTTCCTTTCATTGGAACTAAGGGGCCAAGCCCAGCCCATGGAAAACAACCCCACACCATAATCCCCCTCCACCAAACTTTACATTTGGCACAATGCAGTCAGGCAAGTACCGTTCTCCCGGCAACCACCAAACCCAGACTCGTCCATCAGATTGCCAGACAGAGAAGCTTTGCATTGCACTTGGTGACGTAAGGCTTGGATGCAGCTGCTCGGCCATGGAAACCCATTCCATGAAGTTCTCTACTCACTGTTCTTGAGCTAATCTTAAGGCCACATGAAGTTTGCAGGTCTGTAGCTATTGACTCTGTCAATCATTTGGAGGGGTGTCCCAATACTTTTGGCAATACAGTGTATATTAATGCATGATAGTTCACGCCACTTTTGATACAATTGTTTGTTTACTCTATCTTCCAGTCTGCTGGCCCTGAACTACTGCAGCTGTGAAGACCATGCGACACTTCACCAAAACTTGCAGATCTATTTGCTGCATGAATCCTTTCCAGCCTCAGAACTGGAGGAGATAAAACGCCGAAGAGCCCAGGAGTATCAGAGCTTCCAAAAGAGGTGGACCTGCATGACCTTTACGCAGCCAGGCTATACCGTCCTTCTTATTTCTACATACAGCTCTGGAAAAAATTAAGAGACCTCAGCAAAATTTTCGGTTTAACTCATTTTTCAATTTATGCGTATGCGCCTGTGTAAAATATACAATTTTTTGCAAACTCCAACTCCCTGCTTCTCATTGAAGGGCTCTTCCTTGCATTATGGGTCTTTGGTCCTGCTTCTAGGAGCCTTTTATGAATTGTCCTAGCAGTGCACTTCACACCACTTAATGTTTCCCATTCTTTGTGAAGGTCACTTGAGGTCATCCTCCCCTTTATGAAGCACTGCTGGAGTTGAAGGTCATTTTTGGCATTAGAAAGTTGCTTCTGCCCTCCACCTGACTGATTTATGGTCACTGGCAGTGTCTCCTGTTTTCTCTTGTGTACTGCTGTCTTAGAAACTTTGAGCCTGGAAGCAGCCTGCCTCATAGTGTAGCCTCTGCCAGCAGAATTAAACCAAGACTTGAAAATGCAGATTTTCAAAATATAGATAGTGGTCTGTTAATTTCTTCCAGAGCTGAATATATCAGCCATGACATTTCAAAACACTGACAGGTGCAGTGAATAACATTGATTATCTCATTCCACTGGCACCTATCAAGGGTGGTATTACATATCAGGCAAGTGAACAGTCAGTGTTTGAAGCTGATGTGTTGGAAGCAGGAAAAATGGGCAAGTGTAAGGATCTGAGTGACTGACAAGGGCCAAATTGTGACGGCTGGACGACTGAGTGAGAGCATCTCCAAAAGCAGGGATTGTGGGGCGTTCCCATTTTGCAGTGGTCTGTACCTACCAAAAATGAGGCCTAAGGAAGGCCAGCTGGTGAACTGGCAATGGGGTCATGGGCGCCCAAGGCTCATTAATGTGTGTAGGGGACAAAGGCTAGCCCGTCTGGTACATTACTGGCATGTACAGCTTTCAACAAAATGGGCTCTTGTTGTTAAAAACATGGTCATTGTTCTGTCCAGTGTGTGAATGTGTGATGAAGTTGCTGTTTTACAAAGTTCTCCCTCTGGGTGCGCTAGGTCACAGAACGCAGGGAACCTCCTCCTTATCGCAGAAGCCAACAGCCCTTTACAGTACCCCACACAGGGAGTCGAAGTACAACCCAAGAAAACCATCCTCATCCCGGGTGAGAGCAGGCATTGATACTATACTGATGACATCAGGCAGATCTCTGAGAGTGTTTGAAGGTCTCAGAGTGCAAACATTTGAGGTTGAGGGTCTCTAAATTTGTTAAACAATGGAGAAATAAATGTCAACATCTGCTTAAACACATTTTGTCTTTCAGGACTTCGATTAGAGGAGCAACCCAGGAAAGGTCACTCAGTGAGTTAACCATTTTAAAATGTTTGTGTCTCCCCTGTTTACCAATAGTCATCACTGATATTAAACAGAAGCTGCATTTCTTGAAACATTGCTGTTTCCTTATTTAACTCTTCACCCTTTCTCATTTTTCCATTCACTCATGTAGGTGACCTTGTTGGCCACAATGGGCACATTTGACGTGACAGCTATAGTGCAGGGGGTGACTCTGAAAGGTGAAGGGACGATGCATATAACGCTGTCTAGCGACTTCCTGTCCCACTTGAACCAGCAGCTGCAGTTCGTCACCTACACAAACACGCTTTTTCATCCCAACACGGCAGACACAGGTTAGCCAAAAGCAGCATTCGAGATATAACAGCGAAAAGCAAGACAATGCAGACTAGTCTGAAAATACTGTATTCTTATTGGTTTGCATTTTTTGATTGTTAATAATATTAATATAATCTCACCCATTGCCACTTATTTTAAAGTGCAATATGAGACAGAAAGTCACAAGGCAGTCTTCACGGTCAAAGTCCGCCATGGTGTTCTTCCAAAGCTGTATGATCCTGGTCCAAAAGGAGGTAAGTTACAGTTGGTTCTCTATGTCGAAAAGATAAAAACACCCTGATGCTTTGCTCTTCTAGGGGTGAAATATTGCTTGCTAAACTTCAGTTTACTCACATGGGGTCTATTCTCCTAAAACGTTACAAGCTTTTGAGTTATGCATATTCTCCCCTCATCAACATGGTCACAGCCACCGCATGTAACTGGAAAAAAGAGACACAGCTGTGCAAGGAGTGTAATTAAGGGGTCACACCCTTTGGCAGGAAGCAGAACATGGAACATGGACTCTTATTTACATTCAGTTTACTAATATGGTGTCTCACTGAACATGTTGTTTCTTTTGTTCTATAGCCCTTCCTTCTTCTTTATGCATTCTGTAATAAACATTTAGTTTGTCTGTCCTCTTGTAGAATACAACATCAGTCACCTTGTGACCATAGCTACTAAGACATTCATACGCTATGACAGACTACAAATTTTGATCAATAGTATACGGCGGTTCTACCCCACCGTCACTATAGTCATAGCAGATGACAGTGAACACCCTAAACCAGTGACTGGACCCTACATTGAGCACTACACAATGCCATTTGGAAAGGTAAAGGAACATGGTTTGATTGCTACAAATTTTATATTTAATGATCAAAAAGGTATTTCAGGGGATTGTACATGTCATTCACTATTCCTATCAGGGCTGGTTTGCAGGTCGCAACTTGGCTGTTTCCCAGGTGACCACAAAATATGTGCTCTGGGTGGATGACGACTTCATCTTCATCAACGACACCAAAATTGAGAAGCTGGTTGATGTTCTGGAGAAGACTACTCTGGATCTGGTGAGGCAGTTAGCATGGAAAGCAGCATGTCTGGAAAGTGTTAAAAAGAAAAAAACAGCTCACACAGAGCTGTGGCTATATTCTGAACATTTTTTTTCCTTTTTGTGTACATTTAATGGTACTATTTTGTGTTTTTTTGTTTTTTTTTTTGTATTTGGGCACATTACCATTACATTATATAGTTTTTTTTATCCTTTTCTCTGAAAACACCTTTTATCTCGACATATTTTCTGGAAATATCTTTGTGTGGAGATCGTTAGGATCATATCACTAGGATATATCTAAATAACAGTGAACACCATTGTCCATGGCTTTCAGGTCGGTGGAGCTGTTCTTGAGTTTGGGAAGTACAAGAACACTTTTAAACACACCTTCAGCTGGGAGAGAGGGGATGAGGATGGGGATTGCCTGCACGTAAGACAAGGGTCCTACCATGTCGTACCAGGCTTTCCCAAGTGTGTTGTCACAGATTCTGTTGTAAACTTCTTCCTGGCCCGGACTGACAAGGTGCAGCAAGTGGGCTTTGACCCTCAACTGGCGAGAATAGCACATCTGGGTTAGTGTGCCTTTGATTGACTTGCCCCCCTCTTCCCCAGCCCATCCACTGTAATGAGTCCATCGGTTTGGATTATCTTACGGTGATTTTTGAGTAACGTTGCTCGGGCACTTTGACATTGATATTGGGCAACAAATTTCTTTGTCTCACCTGATCGCCAATTGCCCAGCAACATTGCTGAATAGGTTACTCTGTGTATCATCACCTTTAGATGTCTTACAGGAAAATTTAAGTTTTGTCAGTTATGTAGTTTTATTGTGTCACCCCAGGCATCATTGCATACAGTTTTATGAACAAGATATTATTCTGCTTAAACGCTTAAATGCCCAGCTCAAGAAGGGTAATCTTCATGTATGTTTTCCGTCCTGCTGTGAATCTGTTGATTTTTTTTTTCCCTCTCTTGCAGAATTTTTTGCTGATGGTCTTGGTACCCTTCATGTTGGTTCCTGTGATGATGTCATAGTCACCCACGGAAAGTTTCTAGGAGACCAATCAGAGAGCGATAAAATCTATGCAAAGTACCGCCAGCCCACTGCCTCTAGTCTGAACAAACAGAAAAGTGTCTTCTGCTTCAAAAATCGACTGAAATGCCTGACTCGTCCATGAGGGGTTGACCTTCATTACACTACGATAAATAATCATTGTGATGTTTATTAAACAATTCCCCTCAAAGAGTGTTGTTGGTTTACTACAGTACCTGGGTAATTCAGAGATGCCAGCCCAACTGCTTGTCTTTGGACTGTGGGAGGAAAGTGTAGCACTTGGAGGAACCCACGTGATTCCAGGAGAGCATGCAGACCTCACACGGTGATCAGAAGCAGGATTGAAACCCCCAAACCTGGAGGTTTGAGGTAACCAAGCTACCCAGTGAATCAGATGAATAGAGCCACCCAGCCATCTATCTTCCATGAGAGCCTGGAGCCTCTTCCAGGCAGCCCAGTAAACTATGGGATACTAAGGATATCTGCTTTAGTGTATTTCTGGGACATCAGGAAATATACAGCTCTGGAAAAAATTAAGAGACCACAGCAAAATTTTTAATTTCACTCATTTATCACTTTCTGGGAATGCTTCTGGGTAAAATATAGGGTGCTTTTCCACCACACCAAGTACAGTATATTTTGTATGGTACTTTCGCTTTTTCATTGAGTACCAGTACCAAAAGTTCCTGTACCGAAATTGTCTTTGGTACTTTGGAACCTTGGGGTGGGACTTGATATGCTTTCAGTGTCGATTGGTTATGGAAATAGTCTGCTTAAACACAATACAAACGTTGCCTTGAAAATAATGATAAACAAAGTTAAAATACGATTTGAAGGTAATAACATATACAACAAAAAGATCCGGATGGCATGACAAGAAATTAAAAAGTATTTTATTGAATATACTAATACAGCATGCATATAGCGTGCTGTCCTAGCGATGTGATTTTGTTGTAATAAATACTGGGGTATTTATAAAACAAAAGAGTGATTTAAACAGCAAGGATGAAAATGATTATGATTGTGTGGGAGAACGCATGCAGCACTCATGCAGAAGCAATGGAATTAAACTTTAAACGGATTTTTAAACATCACATAAGAATCTATGAAAGGAATAATAATTAAACTCAGAGTTACAGACACACCAGGAACACTAAAGGGGACAACAGAGGGATAGCACCAGGGAATAAACCAACAGGGGGCACAAAGGGATGGGGAGCAAACACAGGGGGCACAAAACCAGAGGACAAGAAAGCAGAGGGCAGGGAGCCCGAAGGGAACTGAAAGAGGTGAGGAAGAAGTTGGAGGGACTGATGGCGGGAATGAGGAGGCAGGCGGTGGAGACACCAGCGGAAGCGAGGAGGAAGGCGAAGGGGACACCAGAGGAGGCAAGGAGGGAGCAGAAGCCGTGGCAGGCGAAGGCACAGCCACAGCCGGCAAAGGCGCTGGCGACTGGTGAGTCAGAGCAGGGGGCACCGCAGGTGGCTGACGAGGTGCCGGAGGCAGAACTGAAGGCGCCCGATGAGGTGCCACAGTGGGTACCGCAGGCGACCACCGAGCTGGAGCCAGGGGGACAGCAGGTGACCGCTGAGCCAAAGCCAGGGGGACCGAAGGCAAGTCAAGGGACAGGGCGGGCGGGAACCAACGCCTGAGCAGGTGTCCTCTCCCTCCTCAGGACACAGAGAGATGAGGTCCTGGCTGGGATCTGCCATGCTGGAATGGTGGCTGGGGTGACCCACCGGAGGAGTTCAGAGGGGCAATCAGGGAAATCCTCGAGGGATCCCACTCAACCTCCTCCTCCACCAAGGAGGATGGAGCGGTGGTCTGACAGTCCAGGACCTCCTTGGGGACAGGGGCCATGGGAGCCAGGGGCCCAGGAGCAGGGTCCAGCGGATCGGGGACTCATGGGAGCTGGGGGTACGGGAGTACGGTCAGGAACCAGGGGGACTGGAGCTGGAACCTCGGGGGGTGGAGCAGGAACTGCTGGCACAGGAACCTCGGGGGCAGAGCCGGGTTTTGCGTCTCGGCAGCGGACGCCACCCATTTGGGGATTTTGGGGACCCACAGGATAGCATCCCCAACAAACCTGGCCCCTTGTCTACTGCCAAATTTCCAGTACATTGGATATGGCCAGTTGAGCTGCCTCTTTCAAAGCAGCCTTTTTATCAATATGGATCAATATCATCATAAGTCAAGGAACCTCCCCCTCCCTAGCAGCCATACTTCAGCACTGTTTTAAGCCTTTGCTATTCTTACTTCTTAGTTTGCCAAACAGTTTGTATCCTAAAATGTGTCAAAACCTCCGTTTTCAGTATCACTATTCTAACTTCCTTCTTTGCAGTACAAAATAAAAGTGCTTCACAGTGGCTCCCCAGTCCCAGCATTAACTCCCCCATTCCCATTCTTAATGCCCTGTGATCCTGTTCCTTTCTGTTAAGTCTGTTGGTTGAAATAAACCCAGTTTGTTTGCTCCATCTTCTGCTCCTGTGTCCTTCATCCCTCGGCATACTTGACAAACATTTTGTTGTCAACAACAGCATCAAAGAGTAGCTATTTAATGTTTCTAAACATCTCTAGTACCCAAGCAATATTTCTATTCACAATTTTTAACCACATTGACTTTGCCAACGATGCTGTGATCTGATGCCGACGATGCTGAGTCAATGGAGGCTCTGACCGGTGCTCTCGAGAAACTGAGCGAGGAGTCTCAGTGTCTGGGATTGCGGGTGTCCTGGTTAAAGACCAAGATCCAGGCATTTAATGACTTCTTGGGCACAGCCATCAGTAGTGTGTCTGTCTGCAGGGATAATGTCAGCCTTGTTAAGAGATTTACCTACCTCTGCAGTGACATTCATGTCTCTGGTGACTGTTCCTATGAAGTCAGTAGATGAATTGGAAGAGCATGGGGGGTCATGAGGTCGCTGGAAAGGGGTATGTGGCGTTCGCGATATCTTTGCAAGAGGACGAAGGTCCAAGTCTTTAGAGTCCTGGTGCTCCCTGTATTATGGGCCGTAAGGAAAATACGTGCCGTAAGGGAGATACATGTAGTTAGTTTCGGGTACGTGCTGTAAGTGTTACGTGCTGTAAGTTCGGGAGGATGCCTACAGGTTCTCCGGACATCCTGCCACCTACCCATTCGTCAGTCACTCCTTCGCCTCCGCCTTCTGGACCTGGCCTCGCCTTCGGAGCAGTTTCCAGTTCGTCGTCAGAAGAGGCCGCTGCTTTGTCACTTTGTCTGCTCGCTGCTCGCTTCTCACCTGTTAGCTCGCTCTTCGTTTGCTTTGCTTTTGTATGATTGCTCATGTATGACTGTTTTTGTTCTTGGGTTCCGATTTTTGCCTCGCCATTATTGTACCTTCGCCCTGGTTTTGACTGCCTGCTTGGTTTTGAAATTTCGCTTGTACTTCGATTTCGCCTCTTTGATCTTCCCTCTGGATACCTTTGCTTCGGCTGTGTGTTTGTGTGTTTCACTAGGTGTGTGTAAGGGGTGTCTGCCTTTTTTGTTTCTTCGTAAACGTGGGGATTACTGTTTGTTTGGTTAGGGAGTTAGGCTTAGGCATTGTTGTTTTGTTTTACCCTTTTTGTGTTCACTTACGAGTAGCTTAGCTTGGGGTTGTATTCGGTAGATATGTTTTTGTTTGTTTCTTTAGCCTTTGTCACTCCTGACGTTCGTTACACCTAGTGTTTGTAAAGTGTGAAAAACTATAAAAAAAACTATAAAAAGACTTCCGTGTTACCTTCTCCTAGCTCTGGTTGTCTTGTCCTTCCCAATCCCTCCTTCCCTTTCATTTTGTTAGGCTCCAACTCTATACTGGAGCGTAACAAAATTGGGGGCTAGTCCTATCCTTTTTTCCTTTTCGTGTTTGTCTGGCGGATTTTTTTTGTGTGTGGGGGGGTGTTGTAGTGGTGTTAGTAGTATTGGCCCAGTTTCATCGCTTTCACCCTTTTTTCCACACTCGAACAGTTCGATAGATGCTGTAAAGACGATCTGCTAGCAATAGCGGACTTCTTTAATGTTTTGGTTCCCGCTGAAGCTTCCAAGCAGGTTCTTAAACAGGTCCTACAGGACAAGCTAATTCGGCAGGGTATCCTACCTGAGTTGGGCGAGTCACTGAGTTTTGCATCCAGTTCACTCCTGGTGTCCACTGCGGCAGAAGCCAGCATTGTTGATCTGGGGACGGGAGTCCGCATGGATCTCGGTGATCCTCGCTCAGCCAGGGAGGAACTGCTTCTAACAATTCGACTTAGGGAGCTGGAACTGGCAATAAAGAGGCAGGAGTACCAGGCTCAGCTACTCCGTGTCCGGGCTGTGGAGATTGAGGCTGATAAGGAGGTGGCGTTACGAAGGATGAGCTTGGGTGAACAAAAACCTGTGCCCCTTCCACGTAAGGTACACTCACCGAGTGCGACCCCTCAAGCCGGCCTGCCCGGCCGTGACCGAGCTGGTGCCCTAGGCGCTCCTCGACCTAGCCTCCATTCTCCCTCAGGTTCTCCAGTCTCCCAGGAAATTGGAGTTGGAAATTCGGGATTTGACATCAGTCGTCATATCGGGCTTGTTCCTGTGTTTCGGGAAAATGAGGTGGATGCCTATTTTTCCATTTTTGAGCGTATCGCTACGACCTTGAACTGGTAAAACTTGTCATGTCTGCAAGGCTGTGGGTAAGCCCAATCAGATAATTGCACCTGCTCCGTTACATCCAATCCCTGCAATCGGAGAACCCTTTGAACATGTCATTATAGACTGTGTCCGTTGCCGAAGACTCGCTCGGGTATTTGCTATTTATTTACGTTGATGTGTGCTGCAGCTCGCTACCTGGAAGCTATCCCCATATGTAGTCTTCAAACTCCTGTTATAGTGAAGAGCCTAATTAAATTCTTCACTACGTACGGGCTTCCTAGGTATGTACAATCGGACCAAGGTTCCAACTTTACGTCCAAAATATTCGCCCAGGTAGTTTGTGAAACATGGACACTATCCAGTGACCTGAGACGAAGACTGGGACTCCTTAGGTACTGTGTCTCTTCGGAGAATCCTTGGGTACCACTGGTTTTACTTTGCGTTGAATGAGCAGTTGCTAGAGGAGTCCCCAATGAGGCACATTACCTGCATTGTGAGAGAGCGTCAGTTACGGCACTATGGCCATGTGGTGCGTTTCCCTGAGGGTGATCCAGTTTGCAGGATCCTCATTGCTGAGGACCCAAGCAGCTGGACCAGGGCAAGGGGACGCACACATAACACCAGGCTGCGGCAGATTGATGGTGGGACTGGACCGTGTATCTGCCTGGGGGATCGCCAACCGGGATCCCGAGGGAGTTTCGCTGTGTGGTGGGTGCGGCAACGCGCTGCACCAGCACATGCTCCCCAACCTGACCTGAACTTACCGCAGTGTCTCGATCAGAGCAAGATTTAGCTAGGTTTGATCAAGCTATTTTCAGCATAGTCTTGTGACCATCCTACATTACATGTCATTTCACTTTTTCTGTTTTTAAAGATAATTAAAATTACTTAAATTACTGGTAATGGCTGTTTTGAGGGAAAATACAAAAAACAATAGTATTGCTCGTAGGACTATATATTATATTATGTGTGATAATCAATGTGATATTGTTAATTTCTAATTTGAACTTAATTGTAGCGACTTTATCCTTACATCTTCCTGACAACAATGTCTTTGTAAGCATTCAGACATAATCCAGTTATATCAGAACATCATGATGCATGGTTTCCTATACTAACACAGAAATTACAGGACACCAAATTCAACCATCAAAAATACGTTTTTCAACCATCAAAAATACATTCGTGCATAGATATGAAAGCTGAATGTTATTATCTTAAGAATAAAATATAGGGTTCTCCCTGCTAAAAAAGACACAAAGCAACTCTGGACTTCAGTACTAATAACACTAGTTTATGCACATGTAAATATGTATCTGAATGACTTTCAGCCATTTCATGTTCCTGGATTTCAGGAAATAATATTTGGTTCCCCCTGCTAGAACAGACATGCAACCTCAATATTGATGATACTAGGTTATACACATGTCATTATGTACATCTAGGCTATTTCCCAGTTGTGCCGGGAAATTCAGTTCCTCGTGTTCCCTGTCAGGTCCAGAACACATAAATACATTGAACTAATGACAGCAACAAGAGCCGCATTGCTGTGCAATGTTGCTCGGGCACTTTGCCATTGATATTGGGCAACAAATTTCTTTTGTCTTACCTAGTTGGCAATTGCCTGGCATTATTGCTCAAAAAGTTGCCCTGTGTTTCATCACCTTTAGATATGCAAGTTAAACACTTAAATGCCCATTTCAAGTATGGGAATCATTAACTATGTTTTTGATCCTGCTAGCAGCCTGCTGGTTTGTTTTTTTCCTCATATACAGAATTTTACGCTGATGGTCTTGGTACCCTTCATGTTGGTTCCTGTGATGATGTCATAGTCACCCACGGAAAACTTCTGGGAGGCCAATCAGAGAGCGATAAAATCTATGCATAGTACCACCAGCCCACTGCCTCTAGTCGGTACAAACACGACAGTGTCTACTACTTCAAAAATCGACTGAAATGCCTGACGCGTACATAATTGGTTGGCCTTCTTAACATTAGAATGATTAATCAATTTAATGTTAATCAATTGTACATTGCTTTGGATAAACTCTGCTACATAAATCTAATAGAGCTAATTTAATATCAGTTAGTACTGTAGCAATAAGAAACACCAGATTTGAAAGCTGCCTAGAGATTCAAGATTTCAAAATCAAAAAATTCTATACTGGCATGAAAAATTAAGTGAGGAAATTGTTTTTGAGTAAGTTGTTTTTGCTGTGAGCATTTCACTGTGTGTTGTACTTGTATGACTACGCATGTGACAAATAAAGATCTTGAATCTTGAGCAGCAAAGTGAAATTGCAGTGATGAGAGAATGACAGCAGGGGGCACTGCGACAGTGCTCTACTGAATGTTAATGTGCCTGCAGTCATGTAAATGCATTAAAATATGTTCTCCTCATCAAAATAGCAGTTTATTACAAAAATAATGCAGCTCACATCACACATTCAACGAGCCTATGAGTTTGAATTCATGGTATGTATTTACCATATTTTTATAGATTAACTTCCATATCATCATTTTGATAATTGTAGTAAACTTGATTTTGATTATGTTACGTTTTAGAAATGACATTGTATCCAAAAATGAATGCATCCACAATGAAATGTCAGTATGGTGCATCTTGTTAAATGACAACTACAAAAATTTGTAAAATGCATGTTTATTGAAAATGTACATTTTTAAATCAGAATGTGAAATATAGAAAAGTTAATGAACATTGTAAATGTGCAGAAGTAAAGTAGCATCTTGATATAATGATTAAAGGATTAAAAATACAAGTGTAATCTCCATTCACCTTTGGTGCTTTGACAGAACTAAATGCAGTCATATTCCTACATATATACTCAGCAAAAAAAAGAAACGTCCCTTTTTCAGGACTGTGTATTTCAACAATAATGTTGTAAAAATCCAAATAACTTTACAGATCTTCATTGTAAAGGGTTTAAACAATGTTGCACATCCATTAACATGCACATCCGAATATCACACCTACGTGACAGGTACAGGATGGCCACAACAACTGCCCGAGTCACACCAGGAACACACAAGCCCTCAGTCCAGCCTCTCTCAGCCTATTGCGGACAGTCTGAGCACTGATGGAGGGATTGTGTGTTCCTGGTGTGACTCAGGCAGTTGTTGTGGCCATCCTGTACCTGTCACGCAGGTGTGATATTCGGATGTACCGATCCTGTGCA